GTACGCAGAAGCGCGTGTAGTGGGGAGCGTGGGCGAGCGGGAGGTCGCGCGGCGAGGGGAGAAACAACGCGGTGCGCGCACTGTGTTCGCTGCTGGCAAGCGAGCGACGGTCGCGGAGCGACGAACGGGAGGGAGCGCGATAGCGGGAGAAGGACGTCGAGCCCGTAGTCGGACAAGGAGGGAAGGTATTACTCGTGCATGGGGCGTTACCACGGAAACCCCTATTCGTTCTCCATCCCTTCGCTCGCGCTCGTCAAGCAACGCGAGAGAACGAGGGAACGAGAAAGGGGGGCCGGAGAGGGAGACGGTGACAGAAATAGAGAGACCGAAAGGACGACCGACAGAGAAAAAGGACGAAGCGCGCGCGAGAGAGAGGGAAGCCAGTTGGTCGCACCAGTCGGTCGGAGAAGGAGCGAACGAGGGAATGGGAAAGCGACAGAGAGAGAGAGAGAGAGAGGGAAGGAAAGAACGAACGATGGGCTCGACGGTGGATGGGAGCGAGAGAAACGGCAACGTGATATCGAGAGGGGAGTGGGTGATGAACAGAGCGAGCGAGAACAGAGCGGAGAGCGAGAGAGCGCGTGCTAGAGGAAGATAGCCGGCAAATGCGGAGCCGCCAGTGCAATCAACCCGTTGCCCACTCGCGAGGGTAAAACTATCCCGAAGTCAGACGAGGATACGTATATTGCGGAGGGAGTCTCGCGTACGTCACTGTATATATGTATCTATAATATATATATTATATATATATGTATATATAAAATATATATATTTTATACTTATATATATAAAATATATATGTATATATACACATATAAATTGTATATACACATATTTATATGTATATGTATACGTATACGTGGGACGTCGAGTAAGTAGGAGATGTAGAGGGAGGGAATGAGCGCGCAGAGCGAGATAGAGACAGAGGATAAAAGAGAAACGGGTGCCCGGAGTGGAAAAAAGACCAGGCAAAATTACAAGATTAGATGCCTGCTACCTGTAACGAGACTCTACCGATAAAGCAGCGCACTGCGTTAAAGATCTCGAGGCCATCATTCACGCGTACTTTTTTAATTCGATCCGCGCTCCCAACCGCGGCAACGATCCTCGATGAACGCTGTCGACTCGCAAAACGCGAATATATATATATATATATATATGCTCTCGAAATATAGATATTAAGATTCCACTCTGAGAGATAAATTTCCGTAAATTATTCGCCTTGTAGTAGCAACAAACGGTAGAGGGATGGAAGAGGAAAACAGGGTCATCGTCCACTGTCCGCGTTAAACCCATTTCGGTGTCGTAATTGTGAAAACTTTGTTCCTCCTGTAGCATTACAAAACTCGCATTTTACATAACACGCTGTATACAGGAGAATATCATCGACATTTCTCTCGCACGGTACCTATCGCGAGCCACGTTCGAGTGGATGAAAAACCCGAAGTGACTTTACAGAAAAAAAATTGCCCTCCGATAGATCTTTACGGAATCGGACAAATTTTCCTTTCCTAGAAATAATCGACATCCTTGTATTTACGATTGAGACAGAAACTTGAATTAAAGCTATTGCTTTTGCAATGTTCCGCGATACATCTAATAATTTTAAATCAAATAACATTCCAAGACAATAATATTCCATATCTTTATATTTTCTGGATTTTATTTTGATATCAAACCATAAAATTGAAATAATAATATTATAATAAAATGAACTTCTATTATCTTAAGAAATAAAAATTTTTGATATTATAATATCAATTTCGTAAAGTCGCTTCCGTTGATGTCGATGCTATAATAATCGAAGATAGAAATTTCGAATTGATCAAAAAAGATGAAGAAAGAAATTAGATCATTCCAGGATGATCGATAGTCGTACTTTTACATAATCTAAAATTTTACCTCATCCCGACAATTATGCACAAGAATTGATACGCGTCAAAGTTTTTCCTGATTTATGCCCCTATTCCGTCAAACGCGGCTCGTACGTAACATATATGGATACGATGTTAAACTCATGCGCGAGGGTGTCGAAGCTTTCGTTCTTCGTGGCTGTTGTTGGTAAGGCGCACAGTTGCTCTATTCTCTTGAAACCAGTTTTCCTCCACATGACCGTCGGAGAAGGGCAGACAGAGAGAACGAGAAGGAGAGAAGGAGAAAAAGAGATACTAAGAGAGACCGAGAAAGAGATAGAAATAAGCGCGCGAAGAGAGAGAGAGAGAGAGAGATACACACGCTCGCATGTGTGTATGCCCGCATACACGCACGCACACACATTCCCGGTGCGACCGTAAGTGCGTGCGTACACATACGTAGGACGTATACAGACGCTTCTCGCTACATACACGTCGGCTAAACTAGAAAGTTGCTCCGACCGACGTCGCGTCGGTCGAAGAAACGCTGCTCGAGCTAGAGCTACCTTTCGAATTTCAACCGCGAATATTTTCTACATATAAAACGCCGCTCGCCGCGTTATACCGCGCCGGACATGCGCGTCCCGGCGAACTGCAAAATTCGATCGACGCGCGCGCGCCGCACTCGATTCTCTCTCTTGCCGGCCGTGCGGCACTAGCCCACGTATAAAACAACGCGCGGGCGATCGAACGCAGCGTTTTCGAAAGCCCCCCGTGTTATCCGTTCCGTCCGCGTTTAGCTCTCTCGCGAGCGCGCGGCAGCGAGAGCTCGCCACGGATCGGTAGGTGCGATCGATCGAGCGTATATTTGGTCGGAAGCCAAACGATGCGCCGCCACACATACACACATCGCGTATACATAATATACCATTGCTACACGTTACACGCCGTATATAATGTACGAAGGGTTCAGTTACGCTTTAATATTTTATATCGCGCTGCCTCGTCTAAAAGCGTTACGATTGTAATTGAAGTCGAAGCTTGACTTTTACGCGTAACGAAATTGTAAATTTGTTTCTACTGGGGAGTAGCATTTATAAATGCTCTCTGTCTTTATTTCAAAATCTTTCCCCCATACAAATGAACGCCGTGACTCGCGGCGAATATCAGTATTAATGGTATCTCCGTTTTGTTTTTTTTTTCTTTCTCATGCCATTTCCGTAAACTAGAATCTTACACTGTAGGGGTACGCATCGCGCACCACGGTACATTCCTGACGGATTAAGAGGAAGCGCGCGAATCTACCACCTTAGTTGCATCGTCGTAACCTGGTCGCACGGCAACCCTCGGTACTTGCCGAGTAGAAAGTCTGCCGGTAGAAATATTTCGTTCTGGCGGCTTCCCGCCGAGGCGAGGCGAGGAGAGGCACGGCGAGGCGGGACGAGGCAAGACGAGCTGAAGCAAGCTGAGGCGAGGTGAGGTGAGACGAAGCGAGGTGAGGCGAGGCGAGGCCTCGGAGCGTGGGTATCAGCACGGAACCGAGTCTACAACGCATTAGCGCGGCGTTGTCACGTTTCGAGCTTCTCTCTCTCTCTCTCTCTCTCTCGTTCTCTCTTTTTCTTCTTTACCGCCTCTCTCCGTCTCTCCTTGGCCGCCCGTTCCTTTCCCTCCCGCGCCGTTCTCCTCCCCGACGCCTCGCGCTTAGCAGACCGACTCGTTCTTTCTCTCGACGCTTCTCGCCGCCGCGTTGCGCCGCGCCGCGCGACGTTGCTGACTCGACTGGCGGGAAAACTGGCTCTTCAAACGGATTTTCCCGCGACAGGCACACGGCTCAAACGTTTCTCGGCCTAACTCTATCCTGCCGCTTTTGTGTGCCGCTCGCGGCCTGGCTATCGGTATTACAGGCATTTGACGAGCATTATCGACCGTCATTAACTTCGCGCTAGGCGCACCGTATCGAGTTACTTTGATTTTTTAATGATGATTAATTACTTGGATTGTGTCTGAGGATTACATTTTCTCGAAAAATGTTCCACACACTGACAAACAATAGCAACAGCAATGACCGCATTCGCGGAGAAAGCGATAGACTCATTCGTTGCACGGCATGTTTATTCTCGTTAAAGATGAATTTATAAATCGTTATATATAAATATAACAATTTATATTAATAAATCGTTATACATACGTATATATTATAATTTTACATATATATATATATATATAATTTTATATTGTAACTTGTAGTAACAAAAAATCAGAACATACATCAGAAAGATCTATCCATTATTTATTATATTATGATTGTAATATTTAACATAAATTTTTTTATAATATATTAATTTAAATATTAAATTAATTAAATTGATTAAATAATTTGGAAATCCTTTTTCTGATTTCAGCATAAAACTAATGAAAGGGAAGATGTTTTGGGCCTAAAGGTAAGCGAATTTCGCAACATAATTATGTAAATTTTTATATTTATTAAAATATATGAATCTTACATTTTTTTATTTTCATTAAATTTATAAGTTTCGCTCTGAAATTTATTAATAAACGCTTTTGCGAATAAAATTGAAAAAAAAGTGTGCAGTAATGGATTTGGGACATTCCAATAAAAGACCATGTCTATTGTATTGTCTTTTGTGTCACGCGTGACGCCGGTAGCCCTGAATGTGCGCGGCAAATGGAAAGCTAATGACCGGAAACAAGAGTACATCAGGCCGGTCGATTTGTAGTGAATTTTCCAAATATATCGCGAGATATTTCCACTTCCCCCTGTAATTTTAAAGTGCAATTTAGAAGGACTTGTTCTTCGCATTTTCATCTACCACACAATCATTTTTGTTTGGTTCCATATTGAGAGCGATAATTTTAACTATGGGCACGATTATCCATTGATCACAGGAATTGATCGCATCAATTGTTCGATTATGATAATTAAAGCGAAATAATTAGTATGCAACAAATTTTTTTTTGTATTTTGCATTTTTCTCAAAATTATTAAGTTTTCGTCGATACCAACCAATTAAATTATGATTAACGTTGAAACAGAATTATATCTTTCTATGTAAAATACTTTTAAACAATGACATTAAGCCACTATATTATAGCAACATAATATTTTATTTCCGAGAGATGGACTTTATCTTGAAAGCATATACGAAGCATAACGTGTTTAGGAAAAACGAACTTCGAGTCTGTTGCGCTTTCTAAGCTCGATTCTCATCTTCAAGATGCCCCGAACGTCCGACTGGCGTCCTATGACTTTGAAAATAGAAAGTCACTTTGAAAATAGGCTCCGAAATATGCGTGCCTGGTGAACCTTCCCATCGTCTCAGCTAAGAAGAAGAAGAAGAAGAAGAAGAAGAAAGAGAAGAGAGGAAGGAACCGAAGAGAGAGAGAGAGAGAGAGAGAAAAAGAGAGAAGGAAAATCATGATGGAGAAGACGAGGAGGACGCGAGAGGGTAGACGCGGTTTTAGACTACGGACTCGGCGCGTCGGCGTCGGGTTAAAAATAACAGTAACAGCAGCAGAGCCGGTCCTCGTCGTCGTCGTCGTCGTCGTCGTCGTCGTCTACATCGTCCACGTCGCGTTTACCGCTGCTGCTGCCACCGCGTTTATGCTGCTGTTGTTACCGCTCTCTGGCTCGTATCTTCCTCCGCTGAGCTGGACGACGATATCGATGACGCTACCACGTCGTTGCGACATAGCCTTGAGCGCGGCTGTGCGTCGCATCGAAGAAGTCTAGGAGCCATACCATTTCGACTTTTTTTCTCCCACAAGAATTTTAATGTCTTATACATCGAGATGTTGGATTTCTACGTCCACTTCTACGTGCTGCGGCGAAGTTTTTTATCTGCATGCTTAGCGAACGCGCATTATAATCATTTCGGGCGGAGTTTCCTGGTCGCTGCAGCGTGTTCGTCAGGACGAATTTATAAATCACGTTGACGAATTGTCACGTTCCCGTTCCGCGAAACTTTCGCGCCGGTAAAACATCGGACAAATTTGTCCGGTCGTGCCCGTGCTTTTTGCAAAACAGAAATTATTTAGCTTCTCTCCATGAGTTGATGTATTTGTAGACTTTCGAGCGTAAACTTGACGAACGAGGTATATCGCAGGCTCTCTTCTATCATCGCGACAGCCGTTTGCTTGTTATTATTACGTTTGTGAAAAGGACGTATATGTCAAGTTTGATCATCTATATATTCGCAGTCATTCGCAGTTACCTATGTTACCTATGTTCGTCGCGTTCGATATAGTGTCAAGTTTCTTGAAACAAAAACTTTTAAAATTTCATTTTTTAATTCATCTAATCCTTAATCAAATCGTACGAAATCTCGAGTTGCTAAAGTGCGTTGTTAGTTCGGAAGCAAGCTCTTTAAAGAAAAATCTAAAAAAACTATTTATAACTAATAGCTCACAAATTGCTATAAATAAAATATTAACGTGTTAAACAGTACAGATATGAAAACGTAAGTGTCATACATAATGTAAGTTTTTCGTCACACGCACTTTATATTCCACAGAAAATATTTTTCTCAGGTATTTATGACACTCGATTAACGTTTTCGAATTGGTTATCGAATAGTTATCGAATGGTTATCGAATTTTTCAAATATATCTTGTCTAAGAGCTTATAGGAAATTGTACTTTCTAAATTCTTTGGAATGAAACCTCACTTTAAAGAACAAAAATTGTGCCAGTCTTGAAAAAGAGTGTCTTTAACATTGATATTTTACTCCTCAGAGAAACAATTCGTTGTAAAAGTTTTATAGAGTGTTCAATTTCACTCGTGAATTTTAGATACGAAACGACACATGGGCCTCATTGGGGAGGCCCATGGTCACCGAAAAGTGTTAAATATGAGTGCTGATATTATATCTATGAAAGTCACGTATATCTGTACCGGAGCATCGCGGGTCTCGAAATCTTGGCTGCGCGTGCGATCAACGGATTCTCTCTCCGCGCAACGGCGAGACGGATTTTATTTTCGTACCGCAGTAGCATCCCGCGACCCCGATGCCACCGACTCCGTCAGCAACCACCCCCCTCCAATATCTTGCTGTCCTAGCGCGCCACGGCTGACACTCGTAAATCCAAAGCTGCGATTGCCGTCGCGGATACTTCGGATATATAATGTTCGGATGGTGTCGAACAACTCGTACGTGCCGAACGAGCGGTTAGCCACGAACGCGCGAGGCCGGCTCGCGAGTGTTTGTCACCGCCGGATTCGAATCGAGCATCAATTTTTTGTTCTTATATCATCACACGACTACAAGCCTCGTCATGTTTTAAAATATCCGCGCGATAAATATTTTGATATTTCTAAAGTCCCTAGAAGTAAGAGTCTGGCCAATATTCTAGTTTGTACACGTGTACGGATACGTGCACTTATACACAACTGTATAAGGCGTTTCACATATCTGCTTTTCAATTTTTCACGTGCTCAGTCATCGTCTGATTGGTTCCGCCATTTTTTACCAAGCCAATCGAAAATAGGACAAGATTTTTACCAGACTTTTATTTCTTAAGGACATTATATATTTCGATAAAGGAGTATCATGTAGCACGAGCAATGATATGCGCTTCTTTTCGTCGTCTCAGATGTTTTTATTTTAACTTTGTATAAAGAGAATATACAGGGTGTTTCAAAACTGATGATAAATATTTCAAAGACAGACATTTTAAGATGATAGTTTTCAAATGAAAAGAGTTTAAAAAATTATAATGACAGAGCTGGAATTTCGCCCGTTCAGGAATGGTAAGATGATCAGTGTTGAAGATCCTGAATGTTATTGTCAAAGATATGAAATTCGAGAAAGCCCTTTCACGCTCGAAATTCTACCCCTGTTAGTCATGATTTTTAAACTCTTCTCATTTGAAAACTAACGTAGCCTTGATATTTTCCAGTTAGACTTTTCGTCTTGAAATGTTGCGAAGAACTGTCTTTGAAATATTTATCAGTCAGTTTTGGGACCACTCTGTATAGATGATTCTATGGATATTAAATGGCGTTCAATGCAATCGCGCTCGGCAATTCGATAATTGTTGAGGCGCGCCATTTTGAGCGTGTGATTTCGAGAGTCGCACGCTCGCTCGTGCGGCATACCGGACGCTCTCGGCTAGGAATAGTCGGGACAGGATACGGGAACAGTTACCAACGCGTCAGGGCCAGCGTAGCCCGAGGCGATCGGGCAAGGACGGTACCGCTACGGGCAAAGATCTTCGATCGCTCTCCTCCCGCAGGAATTTATGACGCGAAAAATCTTGTTCCCTCCGCGGGAATTTCGCCGATTTCTCGCGCGACTCGCCTAGCGATAGAGCTTGCGGATCGTCCTTATAGAAAAAGCGAGCAGCTAAGTCGAACGGCGAATCGTTCGCTCGGAACGAACGCGATATCTATCGACATAGAATTTATAGAGAGAGAGAGAGAGAGACGTTGCGCACTTCCGTCCGATTCCTTTCCTCTCTAAATTCGAAATTCACCTTGACTTAACGAATATTCGACAGGATATGTTATTTTTCTTTTGTCGTTCGACGATTATCTTACCTTCGTGTCTAATACTCGAATGAAGATTTTAAGTATAGCCCGTTTAAAGTTAAGTGAAACCTAAGTAGTTAACTTATTCGTATCTGTTCACTGATAATTTCAGATACAGCACAATTGACTGTGATCTGAGCTTTGTATCGACAGTTATGTGACGATTTGTCTCTCCCGAACAAACAGGGAAATTCTCATTTTCACGGTTAATATTCATCCGTTCCAAATATTGGCGACGTGGGCGCGATCGATCGGGGGTAAATAGAGAGGCGCCTTGACGTGTCGATGAGATCGGCAAGTGGACGATATAGGCTGATACAGGCCGATACTCCTAGATCCGACTGAACGGGCGTACGGAGGTCGTTGAATCCCATTAAGCGGTACTCTCCGATCGTTTCGCTGCCGACCACCTGTATGCCGACGTTTTTTTCAACCGATGTCTCCGCATCCGCGTCTCTTTCCCACCCCCCTTCCCTTCTCTCTCTCTACCCCGCTGCGACATGCCTACCACGATATTGCGTCGGATGACGACGACGAAGAGGAGGTAGACACCAGGACGAGAGCAATTACACTCCTCGTCGTCGTCCTCGTCATCCTGACGCGCTTCATCGTCGGTGAATATCGCGCGCTACGGCTAGAATATTGTATTCTCCTTTTCTCGTGTGGCTAATGCGGCCACACCTTTCACCAATACCCAACCCAGCAGGCTCTGATCCGACTAGCGTACTTAGCTAGCTAGGCTAGCTGGATGACTTGGCTTGCCGATCGAAGGAATAGCCAGGCGCGGTCGCTCGCTCGCTCGTTCGCTGCGACCGGCAATACGACTTGCGCGCATCTCGAGAGTCGCCTAACAGTAAAGTCTTTCTCTTGCTTTGTTCCGTCGTTGGACGGCTCGGAGAGGATCTCGTAGGATTTTCATTACGTTCCTCCTCCCGTCACTTACGGGATATTCTCGCAATTGTCTCTACTCTCTCCTCGATCTCGAGGAGTTTTCAGTACGCCGATGTGCACAACTTAAAATGCAACACGTGCCGTCTCTTCATGTATGTCATTTACGTAGATTTAGGAATTAAAAATAGAGCTCGGACATAGATTCGAACGATTGCATGGTCAAGCTACGAATAGTTTGAAGTCGAAACATTTGACACTCAGATTCAAATAACTTTTATAATTCCAAAAGTCAACGATACTTTGAACTGTTTAATGGATTTGCGATGTTCGGAAATCTGGCAGTTTGGAAAGTTTAGTTGAGGAAAACTTGCGAAAATAGCATTCATTGAGAGGTGAATAGCTTTAGTTCCTTCCTTTTCACATGTTACTCAACTTCACGATTTTGTCCGAACTCAAAGATTTCAACAAATTGTCGATCTTCAAAATTTGTAGTAGATAAATATTTATTATTTTAATTTTATTTATTTATAAACTCTATTGCTTTACTTGAAATAAGTTCGCATTATATTCAAACATAATTCAAAATGAAAGTTGTAATTGTCTGAAAACGATCCTTTAAATTACAAAGATTCAGAAAACCTAGTGAAATCTCAATCTAAAGCCCACAAAAAATTTCTTTTTTTTAAGCCTGAGATATACAATTGAAAAGTGTAAACATTATATAGGAACGAAGGAATAACAAATTTCAACTAATCAAAAACTGTGTATTCTGATATTTACAGTTTCAGTAGAAAGTTGTTATCCCCAGTATATATTGTTTGTGTTTTTCAGTTAAAAAAAGAATAAGAATTACTTAGAGCCTTTTATTTCGAAAGGTTGTATTTTTAAAATTCGTAGTGTTATGAGCTTTTGTTCCAATCCAATATTTCACTTATTTTAATTACTGAGATATATTTTTAAAATAAAAAATAGAAAAAAACAAACGAAAAGAATTTGAGGAAATAAGATAACAGATATCAAGTAGGACTTAAGACTTAGGACGGCGGTCCTTCAAAAATTTTGAAAAATTTCTAGAAAATTTTGGAATCTATAAGAGTACAAACAAACCTGAGATACAGAGTGCGTTCCGTTTTACATTCATAGCGCTTGTAAGTATAATTTGTCCTTGTTCAATATTTGAAAAACAATAGGAATGATATGATGCTTACTGCATGTGAGCGTAAAAACGAAACGCACCTTGCGATTTGTTTGTACTCTTATAGATTTCGAAATTTTCTATATAGATTTTTCAAAGTTTCTAAAGGATCGTCGCCTTGAATCTTGTTTTCTCTGATATCTGTTTTCTTATTTCCTCAAATTCTTTTCTTTTTCTTTCATTTTTTATTTTAATATTATAGTTTACTATTCTTTATTATTATGTCTTTACTATTATATACGTTAAATAGAAAAATATATTTTAATAATTGAAATAAGTGAAATATTGAATTGGAACAAAAGTCCGTAGCATTACGAATTTTAAAATTTAAATAGCTGTAACTTCGATGAAAATAAACAAAATTTAAGTTTAAAAAGGGTTGTAAAAAGCTTAAAATCTCTTCTTTCCAAAAAGTCACTATGTTTTTTTAGTTTCTGTGATTTTGGTAATTTTGATATGTGTATAGTAAACTACGTGCTGGACAAAATAGGAAATTTTCTTCTTTT